AGCACTCCTCTAAGTACGGGGCGTTGTGTGTCGTCGTGTCCTCCTGTTCCTCTGAGGCCTAGCGTCTCCTGGGCATCCCGGGTGCGAAGGGTGGCCTTGGCGTGAAATATGTGCCAGTATGGCAGTATGGACTGTTGAGGCTGTTGCTGCAGACGAGAGCTCTGCTTCCGAAGACAACGGGCGTTAGATCCAGGCTCCGAGATAATATTGAATTTGAGAGGGAGAGAGGAGAACCTCTTCGGGGACACTCCGGGCGGTTTCCCGGGGTTTCGATCCGTCCGGATGTTTGGACTGTGGTTCTCTTTTATAATCCATGGATTGCAAATATTCGCGCCCGGCTCGCAGCACGCAGCACAGCACTGCGCCTCGGTAGTCTACGTAGGCGGTCCCTGCGCCTGATGAAAAAGCGGCGCAACGAAACATGTGGCAGTTGGCAAGCCCGTGTGCTGTCAACGTCCGCACCCTCGCCTTTGTCAGCATTCCGCAGTAGAATAGACAAGGAGCTACCCAGGGAACTTAGTTTCACTGGATTTCGTTCACTACAGCGCGAGAGAGAACTGCTCGGCGCGGGCTCTGAGATTCTCGCGAAAAAATGTGATCCATGCCTCTGCCTCTGCTGCGGTCCAACCTCCTATACCGTCCACCCTCGGCAACATCAACACGAGAACGCGCCCTACATCACACCGATGGACACGAAAATTTACACACGTACGAATAGTCCCCCCATTAGTAGATGTCTTGAGTCTCGTGTCCAGAGGTGCTTCCAAGACCGAGACAGGTACGTATCGCGATGAAAAAGAGGCCTCACGCGGATCTAGCATGCTTATGTTTGGACATGCCAGCAGCGATAGGAGACGTTGGATATGCTTGCTGTGTGTCTCATGGTTATTCTGCAACTTGAACTTTGGTGCAACACGCAGTACAGGTGGAGTACTTACAAAAGGCGTGCGTACATATTTGAACTTGAGAACGGATATTATCGTATCGTTGAACCGCTTCTTACATTACAGCAGTCAGCAGTCCGGACTGTCCGCGGATATACAAAAAAAAAACGCCTTGAAAAATACGGCACGCGCACACAGCAGCAGTAGTAGCAGTCGCCAGCAGACCCCCGTTGTGGACATTTTCCTTTGTACTCCGGGAGAAACCGCTGCTGCTGGAGTAGTGTTGTGTGAATGTCTCTACAAAACAAGAGTATCAAACACCAGAAAAAAAAACACACACACACACACGGCCGTTTTCTGGTCCCCCTCCCCCCCCTCTACTCGGCTCGCGGCTTCACTTGCCGATTGATGTGGGACAACCAGGTGAACCTACACAGAAATAAAGACTATTCTGCAAGGCGCAGGCGCCGCCGCCGGTGCACCCGAAAATAGGGCGAAAAAGTCAATATCCAAGCGTGGCGGCGGTCGAATGCTAGGCGTCCTGAGCAATGTCCAATGGGGACTATGGCATTGGATGAAATGTTACTATTCAAGCATTTATTACCAGGAATCCTACCACATGAAACGAGACGCAGACACCCGTGAAATTTTGCGTGAACAAGCAACTCCGTGCTGGACCGCTTCATCTAAATATGGGCTCGGAACAGCACCGGCGCGACAAAATATCAACAAGCGCGGGTTCAGGCGGCGGTAGCAAGCCTCATCACACGCCCGCTTGGCCCGCTTGCGGTCGACCTTCGCTTAGTGGCGCGTCGCTGATGCGGCGGCTTTTACCACCACCTTTGCCGCCGCCGCCGCCGCCGCCGCCAGGGCCTCGGTCTGCGTCTTGGCCGCCGCCGAAGGAGCTTCGTCCGACGATGCCGTCGTAATATCCACGGCTCCTCTCTCGCCCGCCGCTGCTGCCGTGGTTGCCGCTGCCTCCACCGCCGCCGCCGCCGCCGCCGCCGCCGCCGCTGCCGCCAGAGCCGCACCGTCACCGGTATCGCAATCGCCATCATCCCCTGCTGGGTCTCTTAAAAAAAGAAAGTGACGTCGACCCGCTGATCTTGTTCGCTTGCAAACCGGCGTCCACAGTAGCGACGGCTCGACCGTGGCCGGGGCGGAGGTCGTAGCCTCGAGAGCTGCCTCGTCTTCTTGCACACCTATTCCCTGCCCTTGGACCCCTACTTACCCGGGCTTGCCCCGATCTTCTATCGTAGACACCGTTGCTGCGGCAGTCAACGCCGCCGCCGCCGCCTACCGCCCCACTCCGTCATTCTCTCCCTCTTCATCGTCACCCTTGTCGCAAATGACTCCGCGCTTCGTGGGCGACCGCTGCTCCTACTTACGGCGAAGCGTACAGAGATGATTACTGGATGGGGTTGGTGCCGTCGAAACGACGGGGCGGCCATCGACGAAACGCCCACGAGTGCGTGTACCGAGGGAAACGGAGGGAGGACAGAGGTGTAGGGTACGCTGATCAAAAGGCGTTGATCACGTACTGAAGGATCATGACGCAGGACCCTACAACCGCCAACGACAAGAGTCTGCCGACATACAGTAGACGGTAGCCAGATAAAAGAATAGTTGGACGGAAGAGGAAAAACCCTACTTCAACAACTCTTCGGAAAGCAACACGGAATCCACACATGGTGCCACATTAGTACATTCGGGCAGTACTCTGCAAAATACCCATGTACGTCACAATCACCTGGCGGGCGGCGTGCTTCGCTGCCGGCGGCACGACTCCTACATCCGTTCCCTGCTCCACGGGCTTTCTACGGGCGCCCAGCTGCACCCGCGCGTCCTACTGGGCCAGGGACCGCAAGAACAGAAGCGGGAAGTGTTAGTATGATAACGCGAAAACGGGGAGGAGCGTTCCGTCGGTCGGCGGCGGACACTCCCTTCGTGACCGCCAGGGCGCCAGCAGCAGCAGCGGCGGCGGCAGCAGCAGCAGCGGCGGCAGCAGCAGCAGAGAAAAAAGCATTCGTGCCAAGAACGACACACAGGAGCCGGCACGAGCTGGTGCTCGAGCGGCAGAGTGAGTACAGCAGTGGCATCATGAGGGTAGCAAGCTCAGTCGAGGGCAACCGCATCTGGTGCCAAGGACGTGCTAGAACAAAGCAGACATTTATCCTAATCATTCATGAACAGGCGCTCTACGCGCGCACTCGAATCAAACAAACATCACGGAATCGGGGGGGTTGGGGAGGCCGGGCCTGGTCGACAACCTAGACACCGAAAACCGACGCCCTGCTCTCCCCGCTGCCGTCCTGCCTATCAAGCCAGACAAGCCCAGCCCCCGAAACTCACCTATCTCGCCGATCTCCTCGGGGCCCTGTCTGCTGGACCGGCACCCCGCTGTATATGTCCTCGATCACGCTCTCCGACGTATAGTTCGGGCCGAGGCCTGTTTCCTATCTCGCCGATCTCCTCGGGGCCCTGTCTGCTGGACCGGCACCCCGCTGTATATGTCCTCGATCACGCTCTCCGACGTATAGTTCGGGCCGAGGCCCACCGGAAAATCCCCCCCCTTCCGCTGCTGCTGCTGCCGCCGCCGCTGCCGCCAGTGCCGCGCGCCCTTTTTCGGGCGGCGATGTCCTATGACCGCTCACTCCCTCTTGACATGCTATTGTACCATGATGCTTTCCCCGCTGCTACCATTCACAGGAGCGATGGAGTTCGCGGCGCATCCTCCTCGGTGTGGCATTCCTGTTGGGCTGAAAGTCCGTCCGCGTCTTCATTTAAGGCGAGGAGACGCGGGTGGTGCCACGGTCTGCTCTGTCCGGCTCTTGTCGCCGCGCCCGCTCCACCCGTTGTCCGTTGCTCCTACTACGTCTCATCGCGAGTTGATTCAATCCTCCCTCTATGGAAAGATCCTAGGCCAAAGATACCCTGAAGTCGTAACGCACACAGAGGAAGTAGTCAATTGGCGGTTACTGGTACTCGGACAGTCGCTCATATCATCTGAAAGACAGGTGTGTCTAAAATTTATCCGCTGAATGCTTCAGCAGTACACAGAAGTGCAATAAAGTATTCATACCTGGAAGAAGATTGCTCGAAACGTTTATGGTGCATTGTAAAACACCCAAATGATACGAATCAGGGGGGATTCGTGTACAGCATACAAGTACCGCGGAGCCGACACAAAGATACAAGCGTCCGTTGTTGCACGTATTCGGCAACTTCTCGACATTACGTACTAAAGTCTTGAGTTTAGAATCTCTTGCTCACCAAATTCCATCAAGTTTTGTTTTTCCGCTAGATATTGAGCACATCGAGCCGCGTGATATATGATCTTGCTCTGTGTTTCGAATGTATCGTGCACATGTAGCACATAGCACAGCAGATTCTGGTACGGGTACTACACAGCAGTACCAGCACTACCTGCTTGACCTGCATGCAGACCTGTGTTTCGGATCTTTACAACCAGAGAGCAACAATTTTGAACTTTGATCTAAACATGCTTATCTTGTGGAGCACATAATTGCCCCAAACCTTTTGCAAAAGATGGCAACAGTACCTGGGTGCATGACATTGGCAACTTTATGCTGCAACACGCTAGAATCGTGTAGAGACTGCAGCGCGTCCGACCCTCACTCGCGGATTTCCAAGCTGTCCTACGGTTGTACTGTACGCTCAGAGAAAAAGCTGAAAATCTACCCCTACCGACTAGCCCCGACCGTCAAACAAAGGCCACACGGTTGACACACAGCTGGCCCACCTATCTCAGTCAGAAAATCGTCGCTTCCGGCACTGCTTCGCCCGATGCAGCTGGCTGTGGGAGGTGGGAGGCGAGGTCTTGAGTTGTTGCGCCGCAAAAATCGAGGGGTTTCAACAGGGGTTGCCTTCCCCAAAGTAGGCGTTATGTCTCATACTTTTTTTTTGTATCAGGCGTGCAACGCTGAGCACTGGCACCACTTCGAGCCGCGCGTGCGCGACCTTCCTTCCTCGGTGCCTGCGTGTCGTGCGCCCTTCCACATACTCGTCCACAGGGTAGTGTGACAGAGGGTTCTGTTTCCTCGTTCTCTGGACAGAACCACCCTCGTAGTTTTTACGAGAAGCGGCGCTGCTAGCATGTCTGTCTTCATGATCGTGGGAAGGAACGAGCCTCTCTACGAGGCGGATCTCGGCTCTGGCGGCGGCGGGAACAGCAGCACCGCAGGGAGGTCTTCCGAGGAATCGGCGCACCTCAACCAGTTCATCGTGCACTCAGCGCTGGACATGGTGGAAAGAAAGCAGTGGTCAACCCCGGCAACGTGAGTTTAGTGTTGCTGTAAGCTGTAGCTGGCTTGCATATGCAGCTATGGGTGCATAGGCTTCTTGCAATAGCCGCGCATTTTCGTCAAATCGCCTGTGGGGGGGGGGGGCATACGCTGTTTTGGGCACTCTAAAACCAAGACGAATTGGGGAGGGCTTTTCAAAACTTGAAGCCGCTGGCTTGGCAGCTGCGGAGGCCGTGACACCACTTACCGAACAACGATAACGCCAGGATAGGACAGCAGAACACTCCTACGCCCCTTGGCATGCTCTAGAGATTCCCATCACGAAGGAGAGCTCGGCGTACTGCTTCGTTTTAGTCAGCTCCTTTTGCGGCGAGATTTCGGGACTCCGCGCATAATTTTCAGAGCGATACAAGCGGTGTACCAGCAACCTGCAGGCCCGCTCTCTCTTGTCGGTTGTCGCCTGGTGACACGTGAGCACACAACACACACTCCGCCCAGCAGCCGTAGGGATCCTCAGCGCTTACAATGGGGAAACATAGATGCATCTGCCAAACAAAATTTTGTGAGGAGGATGGTGGAGACGCGACGATACGGATGCCCAAAGACGCTGGCAAGTTCAAGAGCTGGTGCAACGCGCTTTTTGGTCGAGACGACTTTCCAGTCCCCAAGAGCGACCCTAGGATTTCGACCGCTCACTTCCCTCCTGGTAGCCTAGCAGCCGATGTGAAGAGCAAATCCCTTACCGGCGAAGCGGTAGGGGTTAACGTGAAGGAGGGAGCACTGCCAAGCCAAACGAGCGAGGAGATGCTCAAAGCTTCTCGTGGTGCCCTGGCAAGGAGTCTCAAGCTCGAAGCTTTGAACGACCGACATCGGAGAGCGCTGCTAGGTGGGGCTCAGGAGGAAGCACGACTCAAGGATAAAAGTAGAGATTTGGGGCTAAGGATCTCCCTGCTAGAGTCGGAGCTAAAGGAGGCGGTGGATAAACAGAAAGCACACGGCAGGTCATCACAGCCGGCGGACGTTGGGATCGACCACAACATCCTCCGTGGAAAGACGCCGACAGAAGTTCGTTGCCTGGCGGGGGTGCCCACCCACGAGGCTCTCCTGGTAAGTAAGGACTGCTGTACGCTAGCTCTGTACTGCGGGAAATTGTCTGTATTTCTTATTGACACACCCGCCTCACCTGCAGCCCCGATACAACGCATGCCCCATTTTTCACGTCATTGCATAGTCTAAAAACTGGCATTTAGTTCGTACGTTGTCTACAACTAACTGCTGTTGTGGCAGCTGAGCTCGTGCGTTCAAGATATGTCGCTCGAAACTACAGTAGTACACAGCTGGCATGTAGTCTATGTTGTACATATTACAGCAGACAACCCCAGTAGGCTACCAGTATGATCGGGAATGGATTACCTGCTGCGCGTCCTACGGTAGTGGTGGGCGCCGGTGGTTGTGTAATGTTTTGCCCACGGCAAGAGGAGTGATGTCCTGGTTTTACAGCTGTCCAGGTCTACAGCAATAGGCTGGTGTGAGGGTGTTTGTCATCATCCCGTCTATCGGCTACTACAGCAGTAGTAAGAAATTCAACGAGTCCAAGTTGATGGTTGTCGCCAACGAGAATTGCATGCATTTTCGGTTAACCTCGTGTGTTTTCTGGCTAGGGCAAGTGGTGATTATCAGATCGAATCGAAGCATTGTTTTGTTCAGTTTTTCAAGTGGTGTCGGTAATTAACCTGGCGCCAATTTTCCTACACAAACACCGGGCAACACCGGGTGTACCGCCGTTTTTGTTTTTGCCGCGAAAAGTCGTGTTAGCGCATAAAGAAAAATAGGACCGGCTACCGCTAAATTATGACCAACGTATGATTGCATTCCCGCCGGTCATTGCTTTTAGTTTTATCGCCTCCGCTCAAGCCGTGGACGCCTCTGCTCAAACATTTCGCTTTCGGCCGAATAGCGGCATTGCTCCGCCGCTTTGACCGCGTAGCCGCCCACAAAATCTTCACCGGCATAACCCGTGGCTATTCTCCCATCTCCCCGCCCCTACCCTGCAGAAGCTGTACGAGTTCGCGAACGCCGACGGCGCTGCGGAGAACATGGTGTTTTTCGATCAGCGAGAACGGGCAGGCGTTTCAGCGGGTGGAAACAGCCAGCGAGTCAAGACTTTTCGTGGTGTCAACGGACTATTTTTTACGTTGATGGTGTTGCGCACGGCGGTGCCGCTGGTTGTGGCGTCGACTCTATTCGGTGTGCACGAGAGTACCGGGGGGAGGGCTTTCACGACGTGGCTGAATTTCCTCTATCGCAGCCTCCGTCCTGTCATACGGTTGCCTTCGGCAAAAGAGGTCGTCGACCTTCTCCCCAAGAACTTCGACGACTTAGGTTATGAGAATTGCGCGTTGGTGTTGGATGCCACGGAGATAGAGATCCCCAAGTCGTGGCAAACAAACATGAATTTTGTGTCTTCTTCCACGTACAAGGGCAGGCACACGGCTAAAGTTCTTGTAGCGATAACCCCCGGGGGTGCCATTTGCTATATCGGACCCGCGTACCCAGGGAGGATGAGTGACGTTGAGGTTGTTCGCAAGTCTGGTCTCGTCGACGCTATGAGGGAAAACGGTATATCTAACATGGGTTTCAAAGTGATGGCCGACAAGGGTTTCAACTTCATCTCGCCTTTGCTGATAAGGGAAGGTATTCACTATTGCGCGCCACCCTTCAAGTTTAACGGCGAGATTCAGTTCACCAAAGCCGACATGCAGCAAAATTGGGAGGTAGCCAACTTGCGCATTCACGTAGAACGCGCAATCGGAGCAATGAAGAAGTGGAGTATCGTTGACTCCAAGTTCCATCACAAGCAACTCGATCACCTGGAGATGTGCTTTCATGTAGTGGCTGCTTTGGTAAACTTGATGCAACAGCCGTTTCGGAGCTAGGGATACCGGGGTGTACGGTGTGTGTGCGTGTGTCGTTGTATGCGCGCGGATGTGCTGCCCCGTGGCGTTGGCTCTCCCATCCTTGTTGTGTGGTGTTATGGTAGAGTTCCTGTTGAAGCGCATGTTGTGTGGTGTTCTGTTGGTGTTGTGCCATTTGCGGTTTGAGGAAAATTCTATGTAGTACGTATAGTAGAAGACGTCCAAGAGTACCCGGAGATATTCGGCGGGTGGATGTGCTGGGCGAGTGAGCATACACGGTGATGTACTTGCTAGATATAGGGGTACCCCAGGCTTAGTGCGGGGTTGTCAGTGTTCGCTTGCGGGGAGCACCTCCTAAATGGTGAATATTTTGTAAGAGAGCATCCGAGCTGATGGAACCAGTGCAACAACCTCGCTGTGTAATCACGTTCTGGAACAATGACCATAAATCCCATCCTACCAGATTTGAGTTCAGGGCAGGTCGGCAGCAGTGACTGCTTCGGGTTTCGCATGGTACCTACCAACCCCCGATCGGTAACTCTAGCTCTTTCTATTTCTCTGTTTTTAGTTGGGATTCCGTCGACGGAAGGCAAGCGTGTCAGGGAAAAACAGGAAAATATCACTAGTAACCCTCCGTCATATCGCACGATTCTTCTGCCGACACATGATGAACGGTAAAATGGGCACGAGGGCCGTGTTCAGGGGGCGAATACACGCAGCTCGTGCAGCGAGCTAAAAAAAGAGTCTATTGTAGCGAAGGCGGCAGGCAAAGCATGCACTCGCCAAAGAAACCCATGCATTTAGCGAGAGCTGGTAGCTCTTGTCCCCCGCTTCATCTTGCAACAAATTAATGGGGTGCATGGTCGCGACGGACGGATGACGCCGCGCCCAAAGCGAAAAGGTACTTTCAACCCTACCGTGCGTAGACGTCCCACGTGGCACCCGTGCGTAGACCCCCCCCCCCCCCCCATGACACCCAATAAAACGAACCTACCACAAAATATTGTTGCACTAACCTCTGAGGGTCGAGCCTATAGACAGGTTTACGTAGAAGTCACCAAAGAGAGGCCACATTAGAGTGCCGCTAGCAAAACACTCTGAACGGAAAAGGAACCACAAAGCTACAGGTCGCAATCTTCACGCACGAGCGGCGGAAGGTAATCCATGGCGACTGCTCTGTTATCCGCGCCCCTGGCACAATCCACGAACGCCAGCAGCTTGTCCATTTTGAACCTACTGAAATCCTTGCCAGCATCGAAGTGGAGCTTCAGTTCATCCCACTTTCCTCCAGAGGGGTGCGGGTTGAAGTCTTGCATTCGATCGATCGCGGTTACTCCCTGTACTTTCGCCGGAACGTCGTCGTCAAAGCCTCGCCGAGGATCCCGCCTGACCACATTCGTGCCGTGCGATAGAGGTTCTCCATACAACGAACACTGCTCTCCCGACCTGCCCCCCTTACAGTTCTGCATGATCCAACTGCAAGCTCGACCGGTACATGTAGATGGGTTGAACGTGGCTAGTTCGTCCTCGGTCATCTGCAGCAGACGAGTCAAGAAGAGGACCATTGCAGTGTGGGAGCATCCCCCGCTTATGCCGGCAGGACACTCGCACAAAGCGGCGACCACACCAAGGGCGACGAGGGGCGGTCTCGGCCATTGCCCAGATTCTACCCCGTGCCCCTCCTCCTCCGCTGCTGAGGGATGAGCGTTCTCGTCCAACGCCTCCACCCGCAATTGTATGCGGACCTCGTACGTTTTCGTATCCGAGAAGGAGGCACCGGCGCTGACCAGAAGCGAGCGTGGACGGAGGGAAGATGGCGTGAGGTACAATCGACGAGGCAAGATCGTATTTACGTCAGAAGCATGAAAAAAAAAAAGTGGGTTTCTTACCGTTTAAGTGGGCTGGTGGGTATACATTTGTCAGGAGCATGGCATAACAATGTGGGCTTCTTACCGTAGAAGCGAACTAGTGGGTTGCGCCAAAAGAGCACCCACGAAGTTACCAGTGCATGAGGGATGCAGGAGGGGGTGGGGGGGGGGCGGTTGTGGGTGTGATCTTGAAAACTATGGTGCGAAATGCGTGTCGAATGTAGTTGGTAGTGGTAAGACTGCGTTCGGTGTGGGAGAAGCGCTTACAGGCCTGCCGAAAGGATACAACATTAGTAAGTCCTCTCGCGTGGTAACTTCCGGTCGCACTATCCAGTGGCTACTTACCTCATCCCCAGATACATCAACCCGTTCTTGGCCGGGACGCCCCACAACCTGTTCAGGTTCCCCATATCCGTAACCTTCTGCATCCCCCTGTACCAAACCCGCGAACCCTCGCCAGAGATTGGGTTGACTTGTCGGAGGAACTGCAGAATCACCGACTTGGACATTTCGGGGAGGTGCTGCTGTAGATGTTCAAAGCCGCTGATCCGCGAGCGGGGGCCGGGTAGTTCGGGCATGGCCATGCGCTCCTTGTCTTGGAAAGAGCTGAGATCCGGGACAGGATGGCGGAACGCTTGGTTGCTGTTGAGCAACCCGCACTTCTTGATCATCGCCACTATCTGCCCCGCCAGCTCGACGAGGGGGCCCTTGAGGTACGCGCTGTGGCCGGCGTGGTCGAGGCACCTAAAAACCTGCCACGAGTACAACGTATAGGACAGGGGCCACGTGGGGGGATTTTTTCTTCGCATCACGCTGTGCGTGTACGCGTGACAAACGGTTAACAGTGGGGGTGCCGCGACACAAACGGGCCCTCGTACACTCGTTCCTGTGATTAATGCGTGTCCTTCGAAAGCCCAACATATTTAAGCATAATCCAAGCGATAAACTACTTTAAAATTCCCGCGCGGCAGTTTGCGACGCCATTGTTCAACCCTTGAAATAAATATCCCGTATGCATGCCAAACGTAACCATGAAAGCAACTTCTGGACTCACGCTGAGGAATTCGCGTAGCTGTGCGACTGTCCACTTGTTGAAGTCTTCTTCGGCACCGGGGAGACGACTAAACCCGTGTTTATGGTAGTTGTTGGTGTCGTGAGTCACCGCCTTGCGAGAGCGCTTGTTCCGGCTCGTACTCTGGTCCGGCCTCGGCGTCGGTCCCGGCGGCGGCGGCGGCGGCGGCGGCGGCGGCGGCTGGCTCCCCGGCCGTCGTGTAGCACGGCGAAACTCTTGTGCTATCCGGGTCTCCAGTAATGGCGGGGCCCACACCTGGCCCGTGGTAGGAGAAACTTCCCCCGATGCTATGCCAGAGGCGACAGAGGAAAACTCCAGGGTACCTGTGGTAATACACCAGGAGCAACCGTGGTACAGCAGTATTGTTTCATGTTCGACACACAGACAACGGAAGCTAGCTCGTCTACAATACTATGTATGTTGTATATTGCCTAGAGTGCCCCACGGCAATTCCGGGCGCGCTAGAGAGTCGGCGAAAAAATATTGCGTTCGTTCCGGTGCCACGACATGGGCAAAGTCCAGCTTCGAACAATAATCTTACGGAGAAGCTGCACAGCATGTGCACGAAAGACCTAAATACTCTGTCTGCAGACTACACATGCACGCACATAGACACGACGTCGACGACACGCATTACCGCGGAACGAGAAGGCACAGACACCGAACAACATACCACTCCTAGGAATTCATGTTACCCCCGAGATACTACACGTAGGTGGGGGATATTTGGCGTGACAGGAGCAGGTAACACATACACGATCCCCACGACTCTGACCTGTGTCATTGGTGATGGCCAGCGAAGACGCAGCACCGGAGAAATGTCGGAGGGTGTTCTTCAACGGGTCCCACACCACCGCATTGTGGAACATGTTTATGAGACCTCCTGAGCTTTTCCTCCTCCTCCTCTAGGGCCGCTGGTGTTTCCTCCTCCTTGGAGTCCTGCTCGACGATCCTTGCCAAGTTGCCCACAAGCGCCTCAAAAGGCACAACGGCGGCTGTTCCCCGAGGATCTGGTTCGATCAATTCGAAGGCCACGTTGGCCGCCTTGACAGGGCCGATGTTCTTGAAATCGGCGAAGTCGTTTCCGGCGAGAGTGGCGAACAAACTCAGCCTACGGCGGGCGGCGGCTTCGGTAAGAGGAGAAGCGCGTAAGTTAGACGTGTGCCCGCGGGGAAGCCCATGCAGTTGCCGGAGAAAAGCGTAGCCTTCGGCGTCCATCGCGAAAGCCCACTCCGGTGGTTGGAATATCAACCTCGACGTGATGCACACCTCCGTGAGATTTCCCGCATCAGTCCCTCTTACGTCCCACAGCAACGATCGAACACCGAGGACGATCAAGTCCGAATCGTTCGCGAATACATACACAGGACACCCCGTCTCTAGGTAGATGTCCTGGAAAATCACGATCTGTGGGTCGGCCTCCCTTGGAGCGCTGTAAACCTCTCCTGCTATCTGGGGTCGCAAGAGCGTCGCAACCCTTGCGACAACGCGGGAGTCGAACACGCACGCACTGCTGGCCTTCTTGTTGATCTCCGTAAGTCGGCCCCCAGTTCTTTGGAGCTCGCGGGCCTCACTGGCTGCAGCCTCCGGCTTGGTTCTGCGAGCTTCGGAAGTGCTCTTCTTCGCCGGCGGAGTGCTTCCATCGAGGACTACGGTGACCTGAAACCACGCGACTCGAACCGCGAGACCTCGGCAGCACACTCTTTGACAAGCGGGGCGACGTCGTCGTGCAGCAAAAAATCGCGTGCCGCTGTCCTCCTTGTACAGCAGCGGTGAAGGAGAAAGCCGCCGTCCACTACGATACGGTCATCGTGTTCGGCGTGCTGCAGGTTTACGCTCAGTGACCCCACACTCTTCGCATATATTGACAGCGACAAGATGCCCATCGCAGAGCAGAGTGCCCGCGTGTCCGCCCAGAGAAGGTGAGGTCGCTTGTTTTGAACAGACCGTAGTGCGAACGAACAGGCCGAAAAATGGACCAATGGACCATCGGGCCACTCGACCCCGCGGTCCGCTCGTCGCTCTCTCGGTTTCTCTCCAGGTGCAGGTGGGTCTTGCCGCTGCTTTGTATAACCGGTCCACATACAGCCTCTGCTGATACGACTCCGGCGCAACCACCTCTGTGTTGATACGTGTTTTGCTCCGTCCTCCTCGAAGATGCTGCTGTTGTAGACAACTGCTGTTTTAGGCAATGTCTGCAACGGCAGTATTTTTGTATTTTGGTTTGGCACCCTTCAACTTTCATGGAGCGCATGAAGATGCGCAGAGATCACCGTCGCATGTGGCCGTTGTTTTGCTCTGTATTTCTGGCATGTCACACACCGAGGTGTGACTTCATTTAGTGCTTGCGATGAAAGCACGGCTACTGCTGTGTAGCTTTCCTCAGAACGAACAAGAACCTGTGGCAACGTAGTAGTGTGTAAAATCCAGATTGTCGCTGCTGTACTTCATAGGGTGTCTCGACTCCACGGAAAGATTGCTACGAGTCAACCACGAGATTCCATCGACACTGCACTAACACAGACTTCCCGTTCCCGCGTAACCTGCTTCCTCGACGGCCGTGCTATACCGGTGGTCGCCATTGACGCAATCCTTCAAACCGCCAACGACCAACACCGCACCAGAGCGAACCTACTTGCTACTTTTGCTGTCCACGCCTTGTTACCGAACACCACAAGGGGTCCCGCCACGCTTCTGAACTATGACCCGCAAAGACGAAGTTCTTTGCGGCAGATTGTCAGCACCACTCCAAGGTCAATTACCATAGGGACCTCTACCGAACATGTTACCATTGAACGGGTTGTTGCTGCTAGGCCACGCGAAGCCCTGTGGAAAGACTCCGACGGATCCACCCATGCCCTGGGAAGCCACGTAGTTCGCGCGGCCGCCAACCCCGCTCGGGTTCATGCCGTTAGCGGGCATGAACCCGGCAGCTCCAGCAATGCCATTGGCAAAGGGGTTACTGTTCGGGGTCTGTTGGGCACCGGGAGCCTGGCCCTGCGACATGCGGGATTGGGCGACGGCTGCAGCCACCGCAACCTGCATGATATCATTGTCGCGGGATGTCAATCCTGCCCGCGACCCCGATGTTTCTTGGTTGTCGCTGCAGTGAAGCAGTCCGAAACTCTCTGCTTCACCGCCTTGAACTGCCTGACGGACGTACGCCTTCATCTTCTCCTGCTCCTCGGCCTCCTTCGCTAGCCTTGTCTTGCGGGTATTCGATGACGCCGGGGTCTTGTTAGCGGTTGTACGCTTCCCCCTGTTTCCTATGGGCGTCGACCGGCCGCCAGACGCATCATCACCCGACGAAGCTCCTCGCACGTCCGCGTCGTTCCTGCTGCTGCTGCGGGACGTCCCTTGGCTGCAATGGTGCAGCAGTATGGGGTCAGCCGTACAAGAGGCGCATGCGTGGTGTTTGTAATTTTGGGCGTATGTTATTGACTTTGACACGCGTTGCGTGTATGTCGTACACACCACCCCTACCCATTGTTGAACTCATGTATTTGTCGGGCCTGCTGACCCACGATATTTAGGCATACTGAAGAACTCGTTATATCTTGGTTTAACCCTAACCGATGGATTTTGGCAAACGCCTACGCACATACGGTGGTGTCCGTAATATCCTTACGTACGCGAGAAAACGCAAATTTTACCCAAGGACAACTAAATATCTTCCCATAATGTATCCCTGTGCAAAACACTATCACAGCCCTTATGTACTGCATGCATCAGTGACGGTATGCGCCACGCCTCGCCTTATCCGCTCAACTCAAGGACGCGGAGGAGGGGGGGGGGGGGGGGTGCATCCCTCTCTCAGGCCAACTCGGTGGTGGTAATCCAAGCTGTGGTCCGAACAGTACATCGTACTGCAACAAGCAGAGGTAACCCTCAATGCCGCCCTCTCCTCGACGGGTTAAACATGGATAATACAGCCAACACCCGTGATGTGGCGAAGTGTGTGGGTGTAAATTGGAAACAAGCCCGTGCCGATGTGCATGACGTTTTTCAAACCGTGTTTTACTAAGCCTCGCCAGCAGACGTGTTCGCACAACTACGATATAAATATATAAAAAGAGAGCTAGCCTACCCCCGACATTGTTTCGTGATTCAAGCGACGGGGGGGGGGTGCCCTCCGATTCTTCATCATCAGATTTCTGCATATCCGTTCCGCATCGATGAGTGCCGGACCTCCACCACGCAACTTCTAACTTAGAACTGCATAGGACGCACGACCGACATGACGCAGATATGCGGACAGACATTGGGCCTCGTGGCATGCGAAGGTTCCGCTCACCACGAGGCCTTCGACACCGGTGTATTTCCTGCGCCCTGTCCGGTTGCCGAACCGGCCGCTCCCGTGGCAGGCCGCCTCGCGGCGACACCGCTGTTCCCGGAATCATCTGGATGTTCGGTTAACCGCAACGCGTGGTCAAGAACAATTGCAGCGCATCAGTGCCCGGGGCCCGGGGGTAATGTACAGCAGCGGTAGCTTTCCACTTTGAAAAGTCATGGTACTTGCTCGTCAAGTTGAGGAACACCGTCTGCTGGCAAAGACATCTGTCAATCACGCGGAGGCCTTGTGGTCACCTTCCTGTGTCTCAGCATTCTGGCCGTCCTCCTACTCCTACTCCTACTCCTCCTCCTCCTCCTCCTCCTCCTCGTCCCCGTTTCCTTGTACAGAAGTGAGGTCGGTGACGTCGTCCTCTCCGCCGGCTGTCCCGAAAAACAGCAAAAGGCAAAAAACGAGCAAAAAGGCAGGGGAAAGAAGGGGGTTCGTTTCATCGCAGCGCGACGGAGGAGAATCGCGCACGAGGAGTTTGCATGGGGACGGTCTTACGCTGTTCTGTGTAACCAGCTGAAGCAAGCCTGCCGTGGAGACACTACAAACACAAGCAGTTCAAACTGGAAGCCACATCCAAGCGCGTAGTCCTTGTGGTCTGTGGTTAGTGAGTGGTGATATTCAAATTTGTCATATTATAGTAACAGCCCAAGGAGGGCGTCCCTCCTGGTAAACATGTTCATGTACACGAGCTCACCTTCCGCCGAGCAGCCCGACTGGCATGGCAGTCCCGTACATTGAAGTGGCGCGGGGAGCCACAGCAAGAGGCCGAGGCGCAGATCTTGTCAGCTCCACCAACGCAACGCCCCTGCGCCGGATCGCTGTCGTTGCTCGCGCTCGGCTCTCTGCCGCTCATCTCTCTCGTTACGAGCT